GGGGAACCCCCCCCCCCCCAAACAAACAAACAAACAAAAAACCCCACAGTTACCATGTTGTGGGATTTGGAGACACCCAATGCCCATTAATTATTTTGTTTTAAAATAATAGCTCTATTCTGAAGTATTTCAGATAGGAGTGTAGGATAGCCATAAGGGAATGCTGACATTATAGGATCCTATCTACAGTAATGAGAGAGAGAGAGAGAAAGAGAGAATCAATCTTTATCCTAATTATGTTTGATTGCAGTTTTTATTTTAAATTATGTAAAAATTAAAACAGTTGATCTTCAATATACACGCTGATTTAAATCCAAGTACAAATTTAAAGCTTATTAGAATCAAGTCATAAAAGTACATCAGAAATCTGTTTATTCCTGTTAACTATCTCAAGAGATCATACAACATGCCTCATAGCTGACAGCCTTTTCAAGGCAATCTAATTCAAAACACAGTGAGTGAGTTAACTGCATCATTGTACATTTAGCTGCAAATTTTAATGATGATTTTCAACAATGCGTATCATTAGACAAGTATTTTATAGATCATTGAGTGAATGTATTGCAAAAATAGATTTCAATTCATTTGAAAAAATGTCCAGGGTTTGTAGCATTTGTCAGTCAGAGATTTAAAAAAAACAAAATCAGCAACAACAAAAATGTATTTTTAAATATTATTTTCCAAGCAATATAGAATATTCTCACTTTATGAATTAGTTCAGTAGAAATGGTGAATGAATTAATTCAGTAGACCCAACTGACTGATCTGACTCTTTTCTCCATTTTTCTAGTTTGTAAATGGGGTATTTGGAATTTCAATTAATGCCTCCTAAATATGTGTCAGTTAAGGAAAGAAAAATCATTCTTTAATTTCATTCTGTGATTTCTTTTCACGTTCTAGGTGCCAAAACCAGTTGACTACTCTTGCCAACTATGGTGAGTTCTGGATTAGCTTCACAAAAATTGTCTTGAAATAAACAGTCATAGAAAAGGTGCGTACAATTGTTTGCCACACCTGACCTAAGTTCATGAAGCTTACTTTAAGCCTCATGAACGCAGACTGGTAGTGGCAAATGCATCTGTTCGCTGTTCCTGGGAGCCATGTGGGGAAATGGTGTAAGTAAATTGGGGTTGGAGGAGGGGTTAGTGGATTGGGGAGGGGAAGGAGGGGGGTTTGGCAGAATTGCGGGAGGTTAGTGGGCCCACAAGGGAGGTTGCCTGGTCAGGGGTGGGGGAAGGTTGGGGAGCTAAAAATAGGCCAACCACAGTTGGTGGGGGCATGGGAATGGTGCAGACCCAGGGCTGCAGTAAGTGGCTGGGATTTTCCAGCCCTGGGGCTGCAGTGCAAACTTGTATAGCATTTGCGAGATCAGGTTAACCTAAACTTGATCTAAGTTAGCGTACCTCCTTAGGGGAATTAGTTTAGATAGGGTGTGCCATTTGTTGGTGATTTAAGCCATCTTCACGTCTATACAATTGGGCATTTAGATCAACCCAACCCTGGTTAGGTCAATCCAAATGTGACACCTGTATGTACCTAAAAGCAACAGTGTTTTATAGCTATCTAGTAGTAATTTATATTGTTTCATCCATTCTAGGATTCTGTTTAGTGGCTGGGGAAAACAAAAACAAATATGCACCGTCTAAAAGCATTTTTCATGTAATGTGCTTAATGATTTTGACATTTTGGTTACAAGTCTGTGTCTACATAGTCCAAGTCTGAGAGGTTTCTGAAGTGGTGTAATAAAAGATCAGTACAACACAGAGCGTGCAAATTGATTTTACATGAGATGATAAAAATTAACAGAGTGAAATATGTTTTGTTTTGTGGAAAATTTTGCAGTTCCCTCAAACAAAATTTTGGCAATCAGTAGTGATGGAAATGAACAAATATATCAACTCACTGCCAGTGTACAGCTTACATGGGGCATGGTACAGTGTGAAATTTTTGCATGGGAGTTAATTTCACCTTAAAATAAAATAAGGGACTGATTCTGCTCTCAAACTAATTTATCACTTTCGTGTAGTTACTCGTGATTTATACAAGTTTTATAGCAAATGGGATGAGACCCCCTGATCCAAATAGCACCCCCATTTGTATCTAATTGAATAAAATACATTTCTAGTATTCATTCTTCAATGTTATAATTGAGGCTATATCCAGTTAAAGACCATTTTTTCCTAAAAGTTTGTAATTTTAAGTTGAAAAGTGTCTTGTAGACTGAACATTGCCTAAACTCTCAACCTAAGATGTTTTTGCAACAAATTCGAAAACGCATCAGAGATTTTCTACTCTTAAATAAGTTTTATCTCTTATGATATTTAAATATCTTTATTAATAATAATAATAATAATGTGACTAGTATGAAAAATATATACTAGTAAAGTAAAAGGTTACTATACTACAGTAATGCGAGATTTTATAGCTGCTATAACATGTTGCCATTTTAGAAATATATTTTGCAAGGTACTGTTCTCTGCAATTATCTACTTTAAAAAATAAAGCCTGGCAATTACATCATGTTAATAAATTAACCAATGCACATTATTCTCTAAGTTAAACTTTTAAATCATTGTAAATGAGTGGTACTCAACCTTTTCGGCCCATGGACCTGATGGGCTGTGCCTGATCCCTCTGTGGGCCAGATCCTGCAGGGTCCCTAGCTGGCTGCACAAAAGGAGAGAGGGGGCAGCCTGGCCCAGTTCAGCCACATAGTGGAAGGGGATATGGCCTGGCTCCGTCTGGCTGTGCAAGGGTCACGGCCCAGGTCCACCCAGCCCTGCCACATGGGTTTTGGGGTTTTGGCAGCGAGGTGTGGTAGTATTAACTGCCACTGCTCCCCTGCCACCAAATTTCTCAATCTGTGGTGAGTCTTGTGGGCCAGATTCCAAGACTCCACAGGCTGCATTCGGCCTACAGGATTGAGGTTGAGCACCTCTGCTGTAAACAGCCAGCTTCAGGCAAACCATTCTGGAGCCCCACTTGAGCTGGTTGTGTTGAGCAGGGCAAAGCATCCATGCAGACCAGAGTGCAGAGACAGTGACATAATTATTTCTCTTGGGTTTTGGTCTGACTTATCAGACGTAGGTTGAAATAGACTTTTTATATAACTTCCTGGAGTTTAACCTGTCCATTAAATTTGCCATAAATTTCAACCTGCAAAGAAAATAGGTTAACTATGAATGAAAGGAAAAGGTTTAGGCAGGCAAAGTTCTTTGAGCAGATGTGATACCTTTTATTAGCTGGTCTAATAAAAGGTATCACATCTACTCAAAGAACCTTGCCTGCCTGTGTCCTTAGACTAACATGGATACAACCAAAAACCCAGGAAAATGTTTATTTGTTTACAAAATTCATGTATTAATAATTCAGAGGGTGTTATTACATATATCTGTCAGGAAAGCACTTTTGTATGTGCTTAAGTGCTGTTGCCATCTACAGTCATTATGTATATGAATGAATTTGCACAAGTGCTTCCTTCCATAAGGATGTGCTTAAATGCTTTCTTGAATAGGGACCATGGTTTTCTGTACCAGGAGGTGGCAGATGCCGTTGCATATTTTCTGGGTATGCTGAATTTTCACAATCCCAACGTGCATTTCATTTACCAGTAGTATTTTGGTGCAACCTTTAATCACAATCTTGTGTACAATATTGGAACTGTAAATTGCACATTTAATACACCCATGGCACGTATTTGAAGAAGAGCTAATATGTATTTGTTTTTTTCTGGCACAGGTTTGCAGGAGCCATGGAAAGATTGCAAGCGGAGACTGAGCTCACCAACAGGGTAAATAGCACTTACCTGGTGCGGCATAGAACCAAAGAATCAGGAGAATATGCGATTAGCATTAAGTAAGTGGGATGAGCATTTTTATAGAAATAGATTTTCTGTTGTCATTGATGCCGAAATGTTTGCAATCAGTAAAGAACATCATACATCTCATTGCAGCTTGTGTAGTCATACGTATTTTTTTGGTTTTAGGAAATTTGCTCTCTCTCTTCCTTGTTCCCTAGTCTTTTTATGTATTTTTCATTAGACAGTCATTGGTTTAAAAAAAGAAAAGAAATAGCTATGGGACTAGAGATTCCCAGAACTTGGGATTCACCCTCCTAGAGAAATAACATAGAGTAGGCTGTAGTGTCATGCTTCCATTGCTTGCTTCCCTTTGGATCCTGTTGGCTGTGTAGTGGACCAGCATGAAAAAATGGGTAGAGGAGGGTTCCACCTATCTTAGTGATCATGGTAGTCCACTGGGAAGTGGGAGACATGGGTTTAAATCACCATAGGGGGAGGCCCTAGAACCTAGGACTTAGGCAAGTGCTGTTCCTGCTAAGCTGTTAGGTGTAAAAGGTGAGCAACATCACCATCTCCTTTGGCATTGAGTAACATCAAACAGTTACTAAGTTTGCTTTGACTTTGCCTCAAGAATTAGGGATTTGGGCAAAATTCAGGTTGGTTCCTAGTATGTATTTGGGTATAAACAAGCATTGCCAAATGAAGTGGATTTGCCATTTCAGGATGCGTCCTTCCACAGCAAATTTGCTTTGTTGGGCAAAACTCATATCTCCCATTGTCCCACACTGGCCCAGTCCTGTGAGACAATGGGTGATATGTTTGCTACTTAGAGAGATGCACCTGAGAGATTCCCTGGGGCATGTCTCTGTAAGAGGGGAAAGTCAAGGTTCCTCTCATAATGAGGTGACTTGGAGATTGTCCAGAGTGCATCTTGGTAAGAAGAGAAAGCTAGATAGGCACTCCCAGGGCTGGAGGGGCCTGATCCTGCATGGGTATTCCAGGGCATGCAGGATTGCACCCCTCAAGTCCCAGACAGCTCTGGGCTGACCACACTCTCCCACCATAAACCTAACAGATGTCTACCACAATATATTGTCTACCACAATAAATTGTCTACCACGAATTGATGCCACCTATGTTGCAGCCACAAATTTGGGGCATTTGTGGCTTGGCAAGGGGTCTTTCCTTCGGTTTGCCTGGCCTTTATGTTGCCATAAAATGTTTATGGTAGCATGAAGGTGCCGTTTGTTTCCACTCATAGATGAGAGTGCGTGGACCTAAGTGGCTGATCTAGATTGCTTCTGAGCATATCCAGTACCCAAGTCTATGCACATAAGGCACTTTTCAAGCCAAAATAAATGACCTAATCAGACCTAATAAATTATTCAGTTTGAATCTGGGTGTCTAAGCAGTTTTGTGGGGTCAATTTGGATCTTTCCTTGTGATTGATATGCCTAAATTTCATCCAAATCCTGCTTTGGTTTAATAAAGGTCATTTATGACCTGGTCTTTAGGCCTTGGAGAAACTAAAATATACCCTATACTTTACATATTTTTTGTTATTCTGATTTTAATTATCCTGGGGTAGATAGGAGGTGTCTATTACTGTACCTTGCCAGTATGTGGCAAGGGAGCACATTTTTCATATAGCTAGAGTCATAGAAAAGTAGAGCTGGAAGGGGCCTCTGGAGATCATCTAGTCCAATCCCCTGCTTGAAGCAGGTTTGTCCCCATCTAAAACCATCCCATTCAAGCCTTTGTCTAACCTGTTCCTAACTCCACACAATCAACTTTCTTCCTCAACTACGAGGCACCAAAAGTAATTTAAGTTGCCACAGGTAAAGCAGGGGGACAAGGACTTGTCAGTATCCCACTGCTGCAGGAGTTGTTAAAATGCATTTGAGTGGCTATCCTGGGATGGAAGTGGACAGACAAAACCTTAACTGGTGTCAATTACAGTGGTGTATTTTTATCTTTGATTTTTTTCCCCCCAACATACATAGCTGTACTGGATTGGATGAAATTACCCCAGGTTTAGGATTATCATCTGTCCAGTTTAGGGTATTCCTTTTAAACCTGTGAAAAAGTTTTTAGTTTGACTGGGGCCTTATGTATAAAACATTTCAGTATTGTATGGGTAAATGAGTCTTATCAGCGGAAATTATTATGAGGGTCTTGTTTGTTTCCATATTGATTCTCAATATGAACTTGAAAGCAAGCAATATACAGGATCTCCTCATTAGAACCTACTGGTAGTTGGGATTTTTCTGAATTCAGACTGCATCTTCAGCTATGCCCTAATAAATATATTTGGTTAATTAGATGTCAACTTTGTATTGGCATGAATATACATTTTGTCTTAAGAATTTATTCATGTAGTGTTATTGGGGCATGCCCTTAGGTAGTTATTGATCTCCACTGATTAAAAACACATTTATATTCATAAGTTATTCATTGCCCACAGGTACAATAATGAAGTGAAACACATCAAGATTTTAACAAGAGATGGCCTTTTTCACATTACAGAACATAGGAAATTTAAAAATGTAATGGTAAGCATTGATTAGGTTTTTTTTTCCCCCCCCCCCTCAACATGCAACTCCCATGTACATACTCCCATTGAATTATGTGCTGGTTCATCAGCTTTGAAGAAATACCCTTCCAGCCCCTAACATCTATGAATCTAGGCTGAAAGACTGGCAGAATAATGTCCATCATTCCCACTTAGGATGCTTTTATATATTTGTGAGGCAAAGATTTTTTAGGGTGGTGTCTTCTATTGGGCCAACTGCATGGTTGAAGCATGAATGTCTTGCATTCAAAAGCTTGTCTGACTCTATCCCAACTATGTCTCTCACAATTCCTGGACCATCATAGCTACAACATCACTCTAACCCATTTGTATATTTGTGGTGTTCAGCCTTTGTAACAATGATGTATGCTTAAAATTATATTTGGGGCCAAATTGTGCCTTATGCAATGGTATGCAAGGAAGGAGACTGCAAGAATCCTGGACAGGGACCAATAACTAATGACATCTCTGAATTCTTTTAGGACTGGACACTACCCCTGTAGGCTAGGTACAAACATTCAGGGAGGTTAGAGAAAGATTAGATCACATTAAAAATGGCCACCCAGTCTAACTTATTTGCCCAGGTACACTAGATAGGTGGATTTAAGTGCAAACTGTACAGACATTCAGGACAGTTAGATCAGTCTAAAAGTGGCCAACCTGATCTAAGTTAACTCTACCTCTGAGGTAGTCTAACTTAGATTGGGTTGGGAATTTTTAGGCTGATCTAACTGTCCTGCACTTCTGTACAGTTACCAGTGCAGCCCCAGGGCTGGGAAAGCCCAGCCGCTGGCCCCAGCCCCAGGGCTACTCAGCTCTGATTGCAACCCTCTCTCCTCCCTGAATGTCTGTACATGCCTGTAGTGTCCCTTTTCATACTAATGTAAGTAACATTCCATACCAATACCACATCTCTCCATATCTGTTGAGGGATTTAACAGTGGCTATGCTCTGCCTATGGCTTCTGGAAGAGTTTTTTTATGTACCATTCCTACATGTTGGCCAGTGCCTGTCAGGTACAATCTAATGTTTAGGGTGTGTCTACCTTAATAGGGTGTTTTTTTTTCTCTTGTTTTCCTACAACTTGTCCTGCTCATATACTGAGAGTACTAGACTCAAAAGGGCCTCCAGGTAGTTGCTGGCATTTTCAGTTGCATGTTGTCTAACCTTGTTCAGATCAGATGTACAAGATATGGTATGTAAAATGCTGGCTGTGCTGCATCAGCAACAGCACTCTGTGCTGACAAACAGTAGAGGTTTTATTTGAAGATTTTCCTTCCTCAGCTTTATAGCTAACAGTGTGTCTCTCTCCACAGCAAAAGGACCATATATGGAAAATGAATTTGTGTTTGGACTGCAGACGTGCTTAAAAAATCCTTACCCATTAGGGTGATTATTAACCAGCTTAAATAGAGCAGTTCCAAAACTGCTTTAAACCTGTGCTAGGGAACAAAATGTCATGGACAGATGGTACACATGCACATGGACCACCCCATCACCTTCAGACTCTGCACCAAGCATAGCTCAGTGAGGCCCTAGTGTTGGGCCAAAGCCCTGAGTTTTTGATGTGTTACTGACTTTAAAAGTCTAATGAAAATAACATCATCATCTTCCATTTAAATTCTGACCCCTACTTTGGAGCTTTCTCAATAAAAGTCCACATGTTTTGATTAGGTAATACAACAATCATAAATGTAAGGTGACTGAATGTAGGACCTCCATGCACTTGTGAAATGTCACCATATAAGCATTTTCTGGGGCATTGTTAAAAGAAGTTGGTTCAATATGTTATACTTGGAGCAATAAATTGGATTGCACTTAGACTGCAAATTTCCTGAATGATCTAAAATGATGAATAAAAATGCAGGACTTCAAAATAAGTGAGCGCCACACATGGTAAAACAAGGAAGTCTTAACATTTGCTTTAAATGTAGATTCTGACAAAGGACGGTTCTGCTCTAAAGCAAGAATATTTCATGCACAACAGGGAATTGAACAAAGACCTATGCTTAATGTAGATCTTACTTTAAGGACATGTATATTAGGAGCAGAAATAGATTCCTTGCAAAAGCGCCTCCAAGAGAGTTTCACAAACTGGTGTGTGTTTTCACTTGACAGCTAGAATCCAATTATGTTTTATTTATGTAAGAGTAATGTACTCAGATATCCCAGCTCTGATTTCAACAGGCCTCTACACAGCCTCACAAATGTGTGAGGGAGGTGGTCATGAGGTCCACAAACGTAACATTGGGAACTGATGAAAGCATGTAAGGGCTTTCAGTATCTTGGCAAGGCATGTCAACTGAAGTCATATCCTGCAAAATTTCCATTGATGGTAATAAGACGGCTTTATAGTATCATTGACATGAACCTCAAAAGAAAGCATTAAGATCAGAGATAAATACAGGATCACAAATCTGAAAGCTAAAATAAAGAGCTTGTATCAGAAGGGACAGATGAGGATGAAAGAAATCTCTGCTGGAAAGGCCTGTTCAGTAGCTGTTCTTCTTTGGTAACATTTAATATGAAAAGAGTTACTTGATGACCTAACCTTAGCATAGTACAAAGTCTGCCATATGCAGTGTTGGTACAGATGGGTAGATCAAGATGGGTGCCATTAGCATGCAGTATAGAACAGTGACATTGCTGTGGAGGCCAGGTACAACAACAGAGGTAAGGCAGAGCAAGTAAATCTATTACAAAGCTGTCATGGAAGGGTAAAGCAGGTATCTGCAATGAAATAATATCTTCCTTAGGATGTGTTCTCACAACATGCTTCATTAAATGTGTTTTTAAGATTATGTTTAACATGGGGAGAATGAAGCGAATAACATATCAGGATGAAGTGATGTAGGGCTAGGTTCTTTAGTGGCATAAATGTTGCAGTTGTCTTTAGTGGAGTCTGGTTTGCATCAACTGAGGAGTCAGCTGTTCACCAGTTTTAAGCTTGCCACTGTAAATGTTTTAACCCAGATCATCATTTAATCATTTTAGTGTAGCATCTGTATTATGAGCACAAGCTAAGGTTTTAAAGGTGTTTGATATCCCATGCTCCCTAACTTAATGAGTACAATCAACCCTGGCTAAATCAAACAGTTTAAATTCCTATCAACTTTATCTTTTACCAGATTATACATTTGTTTTATACAAGTGTTCTGTTTCTGAAAGCTGCCTACAAGTCAGCTTCTGTTGCTTGTCTCTATGATGATTTGAATCTGGATACTTACTGATTATTTGTCAGAGATGTGCCTTGCTGAAACTGCAGCATGCCTTCTTAGCTAATATAAGGACATGGAAGCCCAAATATTTATTTTATTTCTAGTTTTTTCTGTTTACTTGTAGTGCTTGGAGATCAATGATTATAAACTAGTAAAAGAAGGTGTAGCTTTGATTTTTGCTTTAGATACTGCTTTAGAACCACCTATTGAGATGCACAGTATTGCACAACATGGACTAAAATTCTCCCAAATTCAGTTCAGGGGATTAACATTAAGATTGTTTTAAAAACTTGCAACACTTAATGGACTTTGTTGAGCTGATTTCATTGGAATTAAATTTATTTTCATGAACTGCTTCAGTTTTTTGAGGATAGTCTGATTATGTTGGGCCTGTTTTTAAATCAGAAGAAAACTATTTATGCTTTTTCCTTGCTTGAATTGAGGCTTGGCCTGACTGGTGTTTTTTTGGAAACTTAAACATGGCTGAACTTAAAGGATTATTGAATGAATTGTTGATGAGAGTTAAATGTTTACAGTAAATTGATTTGCTTTTCACTTTGGTTTTAAAGAGTGAAACACCATGATTGACAAAACAGAATAATTAAATGAAGTGTGTTTGGCTAGCTTTTTCTGCTTGGCTTCTGCTCTTATTCCTTAGTTTGTCTAGAAGCTCTGTATTTATCTTGTGGAAACTAGTCTGTTAATCCAATCCATAGTTTGGCTAATTCAAATTTAGCAGTCATTTACTAGATTAGTAAGAGCCCAGGTACTTTTTAGGACATTTTATAAGATTATAGGAACAGCTCAGACACTCAATGTTTAGCGCAAGGACTGAAGTCACTACTGAAGCATCAGGCTTCTATATGCTATTCTGGCAAATCATTTATAAAAGACAAAAATTCTCAGGATGGGCATGTAGTGAATGTGTGTACTTTTTCCTCACTCCTTGTGTCATCTGATGCAGTATACCAATTTTAATGACACCACTTTGAAAACTTGACATGCTTCATATATCTGATGCAGAAGTAACTATTGACAAGAAAACTCCTCATACTCTTATCTGGTGTCTGTATGTGTTTAGAAATGAATATGTGGATAAACATTTTTGCAGGAAAAAACTGGGAAAATATAGATATGTACAAAGTATAACTAACAGCTGACATCTCTGTCCACCTTGGAAAGGAGAATATGTATTCAGCAACTTGGCTTTAAGGACTAAGTAATTCTCTAACACTAAGAATAGGTGTTTTGTCATTTTTATATGTACCATATACTTTTGGGCAAACATGTAATAATACAAGTACCTTATGCTAAATAGCAGACAGAGCATTAAGTATATCTATGCAGTCAGACAATACTTTAGGCTACATGGTTTTATTGTAAATTTAGTAGTATATTATATATAATATAGTAAGCTCACATGTAGTAAAATTGTTGTAAGCTATGTACTTGAATTTTGGAGAAAACGTAAATTAAATTTCCAGTAATTACTTTTTCTCCTTTCTAAAAGGAACTTGTAGAATACTACAAGCACCACTCTCTTAAAGAAGGTTTCCGAAGTTTGGATACTACTCTTCAGTTTCCATACAAGGAATATGAAAATTCAGCAGGACCAAGGAATAACAGAGCAAGCAGCAACAGTGAGTGTTACAATTTTATGTACTGTTTGGCATCATTTAAATACTAAAAACATACTGATATTTAAAACATCTTCATTTTGCTTTTTTGACATATAACCAATTAATATGGTAATGCATTTAGCTATGATTTTTTCTGAAGCTAAGCAGAACCAGATCTGCCAGCAGGTTTATGAACATGTCTAGCGAGACTTCTCTGCTGCCAAACTTAAAATCAGATTGGTGTTCAAGAATCTATTACAAATGCTAGTGAGAAATTTAATTTGCAATCTGCCTAATTTTTGCAGACATTTGAATTGGCTGTACTGTTTTCTGCTTTGTGCATTAATAAGCAGTTGTGTCCATTTCTAATCTGGGCTTGGAAATTAAATGAATCAGTCATGTAATGTGACCACATACTGTAAACTAGGTTTTCAGTAATGGCACATCTTCTTTCCAATAATAAATCATTTGTTGAGTCATCTTGTTTTTATAGTTGAATATGTAAGACCATGTAATACTTTTTAAGAGTTTTAAAAATACATGTAATTCAATCACCTGTTTCAGATCTATTTGGGGGTATATAACATAACAGTGGGGATTTACAATATTGTACTATCCCTCTTTCTAATATTGAACATTTTCTAGCGTAAATGGAATGCTGTGAAACTATTGTCACTAAATGCATAGTAGTCCAGTGTTGCATCAAAAGAATTGCTACATATCATGTAAAACGGTTTTTTCTTTATGAAGTTGGATTAGATTTTCCAGCATTGCATGCAAGGCCCATGCCTTTGCACTGCAACAGAAAGTAAAAGGAAAATAACAATGAATGGTAATTTTAACAATATGAAGTGTGCTATGAATGAGGAAACAGTTCTGGCCTAGTTTCTTGTGATAATGATTTGGCCATCCCATCATCATAATTTACTATATATCTTAGATTTTGACCTGTTCAGACCTTTAGTCCAAGAACACATCTGTGTAATTTAGGAGGCTTTCTCCTTCCTTATACAGAAGCATAGGAGCATTTAGGATAGATCATTTTAAGAAACTATCCCTCTTTGTATCAGTTTTCCCCATTTGGTCTTCTAATATCATCTCATTTCCTCTTGTTTCCTGTCCCTGCTTCCCAGCCCTTCAATTTTTTTTCTCCTATGATATCTTGTTTCCCATGTTTTCTTAGTAATTACTTCCACCTTGTTTTTCTTTTTCCTTACCCTCTCCTTCCTTTTCCACCATCCCTCCCTGCAATCTCTTTCTCTTCTTCCCTTTCATCCCTGGCCTGCCCGGAGGTCCTGGACAATCTTTCCTGTCTCTGCTGGATCATAGTTTAGCTGATTTAACATAAGAACAAACAATAATTACTTTTTTTTCCCTCTCTTAGACCAGCTGATAGCAGGTATCCATACCAGCTGGAAAAGTAGTGATTTGCAGCAGCATTGGGCAAACCACTGCAAGTGCTTGTAGGATGTAAGATTTTACATAGACCTATTCCACAACCTTAATTCCACCCAAATTAAACAATTTCCTGTGACAGAAATTCAAGGGAAATCCATGGAAGGGTAGGAGAAATAAATATAGTGTGCTCTCACCTTTGTAAGGAAGTTGACAAGCCTATATTTGTGCTACCATGGAATTCAGACATTTTTGCTACATTTGCCAATGGGGATTGACAACTTTTCTCTTTAGGCCAAACTTGAAAAGTCGTTTCATTTTAGAGTTCCAGTGTAAAAAACCTGATAGATTTACCCAACACTGTTAACAAAGCCCAGATACTTTGACTTAAGGTGACACTTTGATTAATGAATTTGACATTTTTCTTTTGAAGTGTCATCATGTCCCTGTGAGGTGTGTGGGATTTTTTTTTTTTTTTTTTAGAAAAGTATCCCTGATTTGCAAACCATCTGTAAATCATGCTGCTTAGTTTTTACAGCTGTCCTGTTAGTTTTCACCAAGCTGGCATTAGAATAGTCTCAAATCTAGGTTGTGTGAACCCTGAAGTATCTGAATTTCAATGCAGTTTGAGTATCAGACTGTATGTTTTGTTAGGAGGGGCTGGAACAAACCAAGAGATTTGCTGGAGTTTGACTCCCTTCAATCACCCTGCAATGGCAGTTGCTTCTTGACCTTTTCCCATTCTCATTTGAAAGCAGAAAGGCTAGCTGTTGAGAGGGAGCCTCTCTAGCAAGCCAAGAAGAATGAGGTTTCCGAGGGATGGGGATAGCCCCATCCCATCTGCATCAGACTTCACAAGCACGGGTTTGGTTGGTGTCATTATTTTGTCAAGCTTCCAACAGAAGGGATTTTAAGGTCCTTGGTACATGTTGGGCCTAAATAGAGAGAATGTTTCTGATACAGGATGGTTTCAAACTACTGGAAACTTTGACAAAACTGTACCACCTACAGGTGCTGAAATCCAAAAGGCAACTTCAAGATGACTTAATTTTCTAAGATAATAGAAAAGAGGTTTACCTTCATTCATTTATATACATTCATTTATATATATGTATGTGTATAATATGGTTTTATTTATTTACATTGCGTAGGGTGAAGTATTAATCGGCTCCTTGGTTTCCCAGTAATTTATATGACTTTCAATACTTTTTTTTTATGTTACTACTTAGGCAAAGGGTGATTTAAAAGCTGAACTACTTCAGTCACAGTCTTCTTAACAGTAAATTGTCATTAGAACCTAATCTTTTTTGTGGCTACAATTAATTTGGCTTTCTGCATAATTCAGAACATTTTGCAGTGGTTCTGTTTAATCCCACATCTCCCCAGAATTATGTCCTCTTTTTAGATATTTATTGCACTGCTTGAGAGGTTATGCTGTCAGCCATGGAATATGTCAGGATACCTAGGATTTCACATTGATTTTATTTTAAAAAGTAAGTCTACTAAGATGAGTTTTGATTGCAGGGCTTGTTCTTGGGGTTTAGTTTTTAGTTCTAGACTTTTGGTTTTATGAACACACATGATTGTACCTAGAAAAATAAGCACACATCTTCAATCCTCCCCTTGCCCCCCAGCCCAAAATAGAAAACTATCCAGAAACACATGGTAGCACAGTCATGTGACTAACACCCTGATTAACGTGAGTAAATGTCAGCCAAAATAAATGACAGTTTGAGGCCTGTCTAGAATGGGGTCTATGAAGTAATTTGAATGTGAACAGAGTTGTTTTGGCTGCTTTTACGAAGTAATTAAGACTAAGTAATATTGTCAGGTGTTTTCCTAAATAAATATTTAGGCTAGCACTCAAAGCTGACCCCTGGGTACCTAACTGTTAAAAGGAATTATGTTAATATAGTAAAAAGAAAAAACCCCCCCTCTGTTCTTAAAGATTTGCGTTGAAACTACTGCTTGGTGACTAGAACAAAGACAGCCTCTTGTCACTAGCATCCTAGCACTATTAAATAGCAAAACTCCCTTTTGTTTTAGGTGGAGGCACGATTTTCTTGTTAGAGTCAAACCCTCAGTCAGATCTGAAGTAAAATTATTTTAAAGAAGACAGCATATTGTAAGAACAGGAAAGAGCTGTGTAGTCTAATACGTAGTGCCTATTCTTGCTCATTGTATCATCATCCTTTTTGTTCCATAGCTTTCTTTCCTGCTATAGCAACGTGTTTTTCTTTCCCTTGGAACTTGTACCTGCACTTTTTTAAAGTCACCTCCCTCGTTTGCATAACCATCAGTCCATAAACACTGTCCTTGATACAGCTGTTCACATATGGGTGATCTTTGCATGGCTAGACCTTTGCTTTTTTCATTCGCTGCATGTAAAAGCTCAAGTCCATAGTCCTGCAAATAAACATCTGAAAGCAAAGAGTAAACTTGTGGGCAGTACAGCTCTACACTACCCTCAATATACATCTGGGCCTTGATGGTGCAATTTTGTTAAAAAGGAAAAATGCTCCTCCATTTTCTCTTTAAATCCCATGAGAACATCAGCACTACCAGCAGGTGTGTGCTGGGAAATAACCACCAAGCGCTAACTCAGCTTTTCCAGAATAGCATTGCAGCATGATAGAGTATATTGTGGCAATGTGCATAAAATCCAAACTACTCTGAAATGTTTCTTTTATAAATAGTTACATCGTATTTGGAGATCTCTGTTTGCTGTTACTATTATTTCTTCATTGCTTCTCAAAAAAAGAGTGATGAAACATGAGAACATATGGGACGAGCGGGTTACATTTCTGGGTTAGGTAAATTCAGTACATTTATCTTTACTTTTTTCCATTTAAAAAAATATGGCCATAGGCCACCATGGATTTGTTAGAGATCTAATAGGAATTTCTTTAAGGCTTTGATTGTCTAGGGGTAGTATTACATTTTTTTTCAACAAACAAGGGGCTAGAATGAAGTTTTGGCTCTACTGGTTAAACAGATGACCCAGCCAAATTCTTCCATCCTACATGCACTCAGGACCTCAGCAAGTTTACTGAACTTGGTATCTTCAAGGACATTATTTGGTCCTCAGAGGATATGACATATGCACTAATTCCCACTGATGTTAATGTCTATCTGGGTGAAATGTGAACACACATTCTAAAAGAACCTAACTCAGTAAGGTAGTTAAGCACATACCCAACTTCAGGCATTTGACAAATCCTGACGATACACTAGGGCTGCTCTCATATTTGAAGGCAGACACCTGCTCAAGCACCAATAAAAAGCATTTTAAAACTTAAGGAGAAAATATTTTACCTGCAAGAATAAATTGTTTGAAATTCCTTTCTCTAAAACCCGACTGGTTGGTGTTTTTCTGTCTTATTTTTTGAAAATGCAATTGTGAAAGATTAAATTCTAGATCCAAATTGTCCATGTCTTCCAAAAAATGTCCTTCTGGACTTGCTCAGCATAGGACCTTAGTTTCCTTATTACTGATGATTACATAATAATATTTAAATATTTTGACAATATTTCAATGTTCTTTTGCTTCTCTCTTTTTCTCTTTCTTTCTCTAAGCCCCCTCTTTATTCTGTGGGTTTTCTTTTGTAACTCCTCCAGACTACAGC